GTGCCTGGTTGTAGGTATAAATGCCTATTGGACGTTTGTTGAAATCTCATTGGGGGGAGGCAGTTTTGAAGCCTCTTCGGCGCAGTTTTGGGGCCGCTTGGAGGCCTTCTGGGGGCTCTTGGGGGCCTCTTGGGGGCCCCTTGCCTCATCGGGGCCTCTTGGGGCGGATGGCTCGGATTTTCGGTTCGTCTTCCCTCTCTTGGGCCCCTTCTGGGGCCACTCATGGGGGCATCTTGGGCCGTCTTGAGGTGGTCTTGGGACCTCTCGGGCCGTCTTGGAGCGTCGGAAAGCCGAACAGGAGAGAACACCAAAATCCTTCGAATACTATGGGGAAGTCAATGATTTGTGCCTCTTGGGGCCTTCTTGGGAGGCCTCTTGGAGATCTCTTGTGGCGTCTTGGAGGCTTCTTGGGCCAGCTTGAGGCCATGTTGGGCGTCTCTTGGAGCAATCTTCGCGCGACTTGGGGCCCTCTCTGGCAATGTTGGTGGCCTCTCGGAGCCATGTCCGCTCGTTTGTGGGCCCTCCTGGACAGGGTAGGCCGACGCGGGCGACCCTGACACGTCGATTGATGAATTGTCCGTTTTCGGTGTTCGAGAGGGCGCCGCAGCCGTCATTCCCCAGGCTTGCGCCCGCCAGGTTTGGGCCCGAAGTCGTTTTCACTAAACCACGTGTTGCTAGAGGGGGCTATGTCCAGGCCTTTGAAGGCTTCCCTTCTGGCTGCGGCAGGAGCACAGCCCCCCCGCAGTGCTGCAGGAGCCCTTGGAACGCTCCACGTTCGTGCCAGAGGCACGGTGGCGGATACAGTCGGAACGCGGAGCCCCTCCCCAACGAAAAGGGTTCCTTCTTCAGGGCCCCGATTGTACCAGAGAAGGTGGCTGGCCCTCAGCTGATCCTGAGCACAAGAGAAGAAGCCCAGGAGGCGCTACGAGACGGCCGCGGTGGGGGAACTCCACTTCATATCCCGAAGTCTCCGCCCCGAGAGGACCCCCAAGACCGCCAGCAGGCCCTCAAAAGGGCCCCAAGAGAGCCGCAAGAGGGCCAAGCGAGGCCCCCTGGGGACCCTGGATGGCCCACCCGCGAGGACACAGAAGAGAGCCCCAAGAGGCACAAATCGTTTTACTCCTGGTGGAAAGGAAAGCGTGCATTTTCAGCACGTGGGGCTTCCTTCAGAGCGTTCAATATGGGCCACGAGGCCCCCAGGCTCGCGCCCAATCGGGCCGAGAGGCCCACAAGGCGGCCCAAGAACGACGCCAAACAGGCCCAGAGGCGCCCGAGATGGCCCCAGAGCCCCAGAGGGCCCCGAGAGACGGCCAAGACGGGGAGCTGGACGGCCTTCCCGACAGCCTGCCCGACGGCCTGCCCGACGCGCTGCCCAGGCCCCATGGCAAACTCCAGAGAGCGTCACCAGAGCCCCTGGACGGAGCCAGGGCGGCCCACGAGGGCCCCAGAGGGCTCAGCTTTACCCCTACCGGGTAGGACAAACCCTTCTGGGCCCATAAAGGTCTGCCGAGGCACCCAGAGACAGCTCCAGGCCGACCCAAGCGAATCCATGATGCAGGAGCGGACGGAGGAGTGGAAGTTGTAGTGGCGAAACAGAACGACGAGGACAGTTCGATTTCAGAATGAGTGTGCTGATTGGGCTTGTGGTAGCGCTGTGTGGAGAGAGAGAGAGAGAGAGAGAGAGAGGGAGAGAGAGAGAGAAAACAAAAAAACAAAAGAACAACCAAAACAAAGAGACTTCTAAACATACGTAGCGCCCCACAGATGCGGATAAGAGGGGGGGCGGTGGGGACGTCGGCAGTTTGCGAGGCTTTGCAGAAGCCCGCCGCCGGCACACAACTGGCACGAAGTATACAATGGCCTCGCCGCAAGCCGCCGATTTTCTCGTTGAACCACTGTGGGTAGATCGCGGGTGGGTCGCATGTGGGTCGTGGCTGGGCCGCCGGTGGGTCGCTGTTGGGTCGCGGGTGGGTCGCAAATGGGTCGCAGGTGGGTCGCGGGGTGGGGTGGGTCGCGGGGTGGGTCGCGGGCGGGACGACGACAACAACACCAACATCGCGACAAGCATAATGCTCACCTCGGATCCCCACTTCAGCCACGCACCCAAGGACAACGAACGACCGTTCGGCCCCCTCACTCTGAGTCGCGGGGTGCGTCGCGGGTGGGTCCCAAGTGGGTCGCGGGTGGGTCGCGGGTGGGTCGCGGGGTGGGTCGCGAGGTGGGTCGCGGGTGGGTCGCGGGGGTGGGTCGCGGGTGGGTCGCGGGTGGGCCGCGGTTGGGTCGCGGGTGGGTCGCGGGGTGGGTCGCGGGTGTGTCGTGGAGAGGGTCGCGGGTGGGTCGCGGGGTGTGTCGCGGGGTGGGTCGCGGGGTGGGTCGCGGAAGGGTCGCGGGCGGAACGTTGACAACAAGCAACAACAGCAACAACAACAACAACAGCAACAATAATTTTGATATTGTTCGTTCCTATCTGCACATTTGCTAATCAATACGTATATCCCAGACCCTTAGCACCCGCCCTCGTCGTCTTCGATCGGATCCCCTTGGAGGTATATCTTTCTTACCTGTCACGTGTATTTAGTGCAGCCCCTAAAACAAGAGAAGAGAGGACGGGTGGAAGGGGGAGGGAGAATACTGGAGCACGAGAGAAATTAGCAGAAGAGGGGCAAGGAACAGAAAACAAGTGGTAGAACCAGACGGGCAGATCGGGTGGGCAGACCCATAGCGGGCAAATCGGGAAGGCGGACCCAGGCGACGAGAACGAGCAGGCTGGTTGCTGAAGCGTGGGTCCTGCATGAATCGCGAGGAAGTCTCGAGCGATAGCGCGATTCCCAAGTAGATCGTGAGAAAAGCCAGCGTGGGCCACGAAGGGCATAACATCCGAGGCCACAGAGGGCAGCGACGGAGACGCTGAGGGCAGCACCTGGGCAACGTAGGGCAGCGAGGGGGCCACAAAGGGCGGCAGCGGGGCCACGAAGGGCATGCATATGGGGCCACGACGGGCGCGAGCGAGCGGGGGCCACGAAGGGCATTCGCATACGGGGCCAAAGAGCGACAACGGGGCCACTGAGAGCAGCAAAGGGGCCACGAAGGGCAGCGAGGGGGCCACGAAGGGCGACAGCGGGGCTACGAAGGGCACGCGTATGAGGCCACGACGGGCGCGTGCGAGCGGGGGCCATGAAGGGCATAGAATGCGGGGCCACAAAGGGCAGTGCCGGAGCCACCGAGGGCAGCAACGGGGCCACGAAGGGCAGCGAGCGAAGGCGACCGCGGAATTAGCACGGGCAGCGGGGGCATCGAAGGCGGGCGAAGGGCAGCGAGCGGCGACTGCGGAGTCATTAACGGGCTGGTCGGGCGGGCAGGCCCCGACGGGTTGGTCGAGCGGGCGGGTCGTTGAAGCGTGAGTCCTGCTTGAACCGCCAGGCAATATGTAGTGGGAGCGCGACTCCTGAGCGTCGAGGACGGGCATCTGAATAGATTGCAAGGAAAAATCCAGCGAAGTTGTTCGGTGGAAAGTTGCAAGGAATTCCCGAGCGAGAGCGCGATTCCGCAATACATTGTCAAGAAGTATCAAGCGGGAGCCGCGATCCGGTGGCAACTTGACAGGAAGTCCAAGGCGAAAGCGCGATTCTTCAATGCATTGTGAGGAAGTATCAGGCGGGAGCTGTTGTCGTTGTCGTTGTTGTTGCTGTTGCTGTTGCTGTTGCTGTTGCTGTTGCTGTTTATGTTTATGTTTATGTTGTTGTTGTTGTTGTTGTTGTTGTTGTTGTTGTTGTTGTTGTTGTTGTTGTTGTTGTTGTTGTTGTTGTTGTTGTTGTTGTTGTTTTTGTTATTGTTCTTGTTATGGTTATTGTTATTGTTATTGTTATTGTTCTTGTTCTTGTTCTTGTTCTTGTTATTGTTCTTGTTATTGTTTTTGTTCTTGTGGTTGTTCGTTGCGACGCCCATCCCGGCCCCAGTGTGTTGTTGAGATGTTGTTCTTCTTGGGAAATGGAGTTGGTAGGCGTAGCGTATGAGAAGGAACTGGCGGAGCTTAGCCCCCCCCCTGGGGCCGGGACGGGCGTATGCATTGGGTCGTGGCCCCCGACCAGGGTATCGGGGCCGGGACGGTGGTTGGCACACGAGGGAGCGCGACCAACAATCCCAGGGAATCGCAGGACTCCCTAGGGAACCTCGGAAGTCCCTAGGGAATCGCAGGGTTCCTTAAGGATTCCCTGTGGAATCGTAGGATTCCCTGGGGGGTCTTTCTGGAATCTCAGTAAATCCTTAGGGGTCCCGAAGGAACACGAAGGACTCCTTAGGAACCCTAAGGGCCCCTTCGGGATCTATAAGAAGTGTCTTCCTTCCCGAGGGAGTGTTCTTAAGTTTCCTTCCTGAGGGAGTCTAGAGGAGTTTCTGTGGAATCCATAAGAATCGCTCGGAGTCTTCAGGAATTGTAGGGAACCCATAGGAATCTGAAGGGAATCCATCGGAAGCTCTATGGAACCCATAGGAATATGTAGGCATTCCATCGGCATTTTTATGGAATCCATAAGAATCTTGAGAGAATCCATAGGGATGGGAATCCATGAGAATCTTCATGGAATGCATGGGGATTTCGACGGAATGCATATACATCTTGATGGAATGCATCGGAATTCCCATGGGATCCATGAAAGTCTCGATGGAATCCATAAGAATCTGTAGGGAACCCATGGAAATCTTTATGGAAGCCATGGGAATCTGCATGGGATCCATAGCCTTGAATATCTATCGAATCCATGGGAATCGCCAGGGATTCCTTAGGTCTACGGGATCCCTTAGGAATCTCAGAGGATTCCTGAGGAATCTCTAGGGCTTCCTTGAACATTCTCGATGGTTGCCTTAGGGATCTTTAGGGAATCCTTAGGAATCTCTAGGGAATCCTTAAGAATCGCTAAGGTTTGCTTAGGGGCCTCTTAGGAATCCTTAGGAATCTCTAGGGAATCCTTCGGCTCCCAGGGCGTTTACTCGGGCCGGGAGAGGCGTTGGCACGCCAGGGCGCGCCGCCGCCGTACTGCAAGGTGCACACCTGCCGGGGCCGGGAGAGTCGTTGGCACACGAGGCTCGCGAATGCTTGCGCCATTGGAAGAGGCCAGGGGCCAGGAGAGGCAATTGGCACATCCAGATCGAGAACGCTTTCACCGGGGGCCAGGTGCGAGCGGGCACAGTTCGGTGTGCGTACGACCGTCCCGGCCCCGGCCCGAGGCCGGGACGGGCGTTGCTGCGTCGTTGTTGTTGTTGTTGTTGTTGTTGTTGTTGTTGTTGTTGTTGTTGTTGTTGTTGTTGTTGTTGTTGCTGTTGTTGTTGTTGTTGTTGTTGGTGGTGGTGGTGGTGGTGGTGGTGGTGGTGGTGTTGTTGCTGTAATCCGGGGCCCAACGTCACAGTTTGAACCGTCAGATTTTTCCGGGTTTGAACAAGAACAGGGTGCGAGCCCCGGGAGGGGCATTTCAATCGAAAGAAATTCAATGTGCGCTGGGGGGGATCAACAATAACTATTCTTGTGAAGTGAGAGTTCAACAGAAACAGAAACAGCAACAACAACGTAGCCACCCCTCTGCCGGCCCCGGGTTGGGGCTGGCAGAGGGGTTGGCACACGGGGTTGTGCACATTTTCAGTCGGCCACATCTGAGAGCCTTCGCGCGCCAGGTGTGTGGCCGACTCTGCCGGCTCGAGGGGCCCTTCCAGTCTGCAGGCGGCCGCGCGCCTAGGTGTAGCAAGGCCCCAGCCGGCCCCGGGCGACGCCTATCCCGAGCTAAAGTCCGCCAGTGCGCCTTCCACGACGACGGTCGCGCACACAGGTATGCCGACCCCTCTGCCGGCCCCGAGGAGGTCCCCAGGGAATCCTTCGGGAATCCATAGCGAATCCTTAGGGAAGCCCCTTTATGGAATCCCTAGGGAATCCTTGGGGAATCTAGGGAGTCCTTGGATAATCCTAAAGAATCCTTATGGAATCCCTAGGGGATCCTTCGGGAATCTGTAGGGAATCCCCAGGGAATCTCCAGGGAATCCTTAGGGAATCCCCAAGGAAACTCCTTTGGGAATCTTTAGCTTTGCGAATCCCAAGGGGATCCTTCGGAATCCGAACAAGGAAAAACTTCGGAATCTCCCGGGAATCCTCAGGAATCCCTCGGGAATCCGCTGTAATCTCTAAGGGATCCTTCGGGAGTCCCTCTGGATCCTGAGGAATCCTTGGGAAATCCTAGGGAATCAGAGAAATCCGTTGGAAATTTCGGGGAATTCGTAGGACCCCCAAGGAATCTGGAAGAATCCTTAGGCATTCGTAGGGAATCCCAAAAGGACCCCTAGGGAATCCATCGGAAATCAAGAGGGGCTCCCACAGGAAATCCCAAAAGGAAATCCTTGTGGAATCCTTAGGGGATCCCCGGATAATCCTTGGGAAGCCTTCGTGCAGAAAACCCAGTCAATCTTGAGGAATCCTGGGGGGATCCCTAGGGAATCCATTGGACGAGGAGGAAGGAGGACGAACGAAGAGGTGGGAGGATCATGAAGGACGGAGGGAGGGAGGAAGCAGGAGGGAGGGAGGAAGGGAGGACTGGACTGGACTGGACTGCTGGTCGCAGCGTGGGCGCCGGGGGGGGGGCCGCAGCAGCTTGTCGGCGGTCAGGTGCAGCTTCAGACCCAGGGCGCCGACACCATGGACAGACGCGTGACGGAGCTGAAGCACCAGTTCGAGGAGGAGCTACCCGTTGAGCTACAGTCAACCCGCATAGCAAGGACGGGCAATTATCCGAAGGATGTCCTTGCATCCTTGCCTCCTCGGTTCATCCTTGGCCACGTTCGCTGGCCGCGCCCCGCTCGAGAAGCTTCGAAATGGCCTTCTGAGGCCCTTGTTTTTTGATCGTGCATCCTTATGATACGGGTCGGCTGTATCCGTAGGTGTTTGAACCCCGCGGTGTAGCGGCCACCACGCGCCGAGACTCAACACGCCGCCTGGCCTGCAGGCCACTGGCGCTGGAGCGGGGGCGCTGCCCTTCAGGACTTTGCTCTGCGGGGCAGGCCGCAGCCCGTGAGGAGGGCCGAGCAGGGGGGAGGTGCGCGGGGCGCGGGGAGGAGGGAGGAGCAGGAAGGAGGAGGGGGAGCAGGAGGAGGAGCGAGAATGGAAGAGGTGAGAGGACGTCCGCAGGGTGCAGCCAGGTCACACGAGACTTGCCGCCGATAGGACATTTGAGGATACGGATGGAGAGGAGGAGGCGGAGGAGGAGGCGGAGGAGGCGGAGGAGGAGGCGGAGGAGGAGGAGGAGGAGGAGGAGAGGAGGAGGAGGAGGAGGAGGAGGAGGAGGAGGAGAATGAGAAGGGGAGGGTAGGGAAGGAGGAGGAGGAGGAAGAGGAGGAGGAGGAGGAGGAGGAGGAGGAGGGGGCGTGAGGACGAGGAGGAGGAGGACGAGGCGGGAGAAGGGGGCAGGATGGAGGACAAGTCGGAGATGAAGGAAGAATAAGGTGTGCACTGTTGAGGCAGCTTCAGCTGGAGGCCGTTCTTCTTCTCGCATCCTCTAGCTTCAGTTGTGCAAAGTATGACTTGTGTGGTTCGTTCCCAGTGCGTCTCGAGAACGAGAAAGGTTGACCTGAGAATCAGGAAGTTGCAGGGAGGAGGACCTCAGGGGGTGGTAGGGAGGCGGAAGAGTAGGAGGCAGATGAAAAAGAACAAGGGGAGGATGAAGGGGCGACGGGATAGAGGGGAGAGCGAATCGGAGGGAGAAGCTAGGTGCGATCGTGTTGTCTGACATCCTATCCTGCCTTCCCATCCCTTTCCATGGCGCTGATGTTCCTCTATCCACTGACGCGTGCCATAGCCGACCTGCGACTCACGCACGGCGCTGATGTTCCTCTGTCCGCGGACGCGTGTCGTAGCCGACCTGCGACTCACACATTCACATAGAGACCACGTCGTGCCGTGCGCCATCGGGAAACGTGGGGAGCCGCGTGCACAGCGGGAAGTGGCGGCGGGAGAGCGGGAGGATGAGCGGGAGGAAACGGATGAGGACGAAAACCAGCAGCGGGAGCTGAAGCGGAAGGATTGGGAGGGGACGGAGAGCCAGGGGAAGGCGGAGGAGGGGAAAGGAGGGGGGCGAGAGCGATGAGGAGCGACTCGGATTCCAACAGAGGTGCCCGCGCTGGGGGGCGAGAGGAGCAGCAGCAGCAGGAGCAGGAGCTGGAGAGGAAGGAACGGGAGGAACAGGAGGGGAATGTAGCAACACTCACGCGCAGCAATGAATTTCGTTAGCTCGGGCAGCACTTTGGGTAACACTGCCTGTACCCTCGCTTCCTTAGCGGGTTCGAGCCTCACGCCGATGGATGATTGCATGTGCTCATCAGGCTCTGGTGCCGAGGCAAATACACCAGATACAACCTATACACCAGATACAACATATACAACCTATACAACATATACAACATATACAACATATACAACCTATACAACATATACAACCTATACAACATATACAACCTATACAACACATACAACATATTCACATAGAGACTACGTCGTGCCGTGCGCCATCGGGAAACGTGGGGAGCCGCGTGCACAGCGGGAAGTGGCGGCGGGAGAGCGGGAGGATGAGCGGGAGGAAACGGATGAGGACGAACACCAGCAGCGGGAGCTGAAGCGGACGGATTGGGAGGGGACGGAGAGCCAGGGGAAGGCGGAGGAGGGGAAAGGAGGGGGGCGAGAGCGATGAGGAGCCACTCGGATTCCAACAGAGGTGCCCGCGCTGGGGGGCGAGAGGAGCAGCAGCAGCAGGAGCAGGAGCTGGAGAGGCAGGAACGGGAGGAACAGGAGGGGAATGTAGCAACACTCACGCGCAGCAATGGTTTTTCGTTAGCTCGGGCAGCACTTTGGGTAGCACTGCCTGTACCCTCGCTTCCTTAGCGGGTTCGAGCCTCACGCCGATGGATGACTGCATGTGCTCATCAGGCTCTGGTGCCGAGACCGATACAACAGATACAACATATACAACATATACAACATATACAACAGATACAACATATACAACATATTCACATAGAGACCACGCCGTGCCGTGCGCCATCGGGAAACGTGGGGAGCCGCGTGCACAGCGGGAAGTGGCGGCGGGAGAGCGGGAGAATGAGCGGGAGGAAAAGGATGAGGACGAACACCAGCAGCGGGAGCTGAAGCGGAAGGATTGGGAGGGGACGGAGAGCCAGGGGAAGGCGGAGGAGGGGAAAGGAGGGGGGCGAGAGCGATGAGGAGCGATTCGGATTCCAACAGAGGTGCCCGCGCTGGGGGGCGAGAGGAGCAGCCGCAGCAGGAGCAGGAACTGGAGAGGAAGGAACGGGAGGAACAGGAGGGGAACGTAGCAACACTCACGCGCAGCAATGGTTTTTCGTTAGCTCGGGCAGCACTTTGGGTAGCACTGCCTGTACCCTCGCTTCCTTAGCGGGTTCGAGCCTCACGCCGATGGATGATTGCATGTGCTCATCAGGCTCTGGTGCCGAGACAGATACAACAGCTACAACAGATACAACATATACAACAGATACAACAGATACAACATATACAACATATACAACAGATACAACAGATACAACATATTCACATAGAGACCACGTCGTGCCGTGCGCCATCGGGAAACGTGGGGAGCCGCGTGCACAGCAGGAAGTGGCGGCGGGACAGCGGGAGGATGAGCGGGAGGAAAAGGATGAGGACGAACACCAGCAGCGGGAGCTGAAGCGGAAGGATTGGGAGGGGACGGAGAGCCAGGGGAAGGCGGAGGAGGGGAAAGGAGGGGGGCGAGAGCGATGAGGAGCGACTCGGATTCCAACAGAGGTGCCCGCGCTGGGGGGCGAGAGGAGCAGCAGCAGCAGCAGGAGCAGGAGCTGGAGAGGAAGGAACGGGAGGAACAGGAGGGGAGTGTAGCAACACTCACGCGCAGCAATGGTTTTTCGTTAGCTCGGGCAGCACTTTGGGTAACACTGCCTGTACCCTCGCTTCCTTAGCGGCTTCGAGCCTCACGCCGATGGATGACTGCATGTGCTCATCAGGCTCTGGTGCCGAGACAGATACAACAGATACAACATATACAACATATACAACATATACAACATATACAACATACACAACATATACAACATATACAACATAAACACCATATACAACATATACAACAGATACAACAGATACAACATATACAACATATACAACATATTCACATAGAGACCACGTGGTGCCGTGCGCCATCGGGAAACGTGGGGAGCCGCGTGCACAGCGGGAAGTGGCGGCGGGACAGCGGGAGGATGAGCGGGAGGAAAAGGATGAGGACGAACACCAGCAGCGGGAGCTGAAGCGGAAGGATTGGGAGGGGACGGAGAGCCAGGGGAAGGCGGAGGAGGGGAAATGAGGGGGGCGAGAGCGATGAGGAGCGACTCGGATTCCAACAGAGGTGCCCGCGCTGGGGGGCGAGAGGAGCAGCAGCAGCAGGAGCAGGAGCTGGAGAGGAAGGAACGGGAGGAACAGGAGGGGAATGTAGCAACACTCACGCGCAGCAATGGTTTTTCGTTAGCTCGGGCAGCACTTTGGGTAACACTGCCTGTACCCTCGCTTCCTTAGCGGGTTCGAGCCTCACGCCGATGGATGACTGCATGTGCTCATCAGGCTCTGGTGCCGAGACAGATACAACAGATACAACAGATACAACAGATACAACAGATACAACAGATACAACATATTCACATAGAGACCACGCCGTGCCGTGCGCCATCGGGAAACGTGGGGAGCCGCGTGCACAGCGGGAAGTGGCGGCGGGAGAGCGGGAGGATGAGCGGGAGGAAAAGGATGAGGACGAACACCAGCAGCGGGAGCTGAAGCGGAAGGATTGGGAGGGGACGGAGAGCCAGGGGAAGGCGGAGGAGGGGAAAGGAGGGGGGCGAGAGCGATGAGGAGCGACTCGGATTCCAACAGAGGTGCCCGCGCTGGGGGGCGAGAGGAGCAGCAGCAGCAGGAGCAGGAGCTGGAGAGGAAGGAACGGGAGGAACAGGAGGAAGACCAGGGGCAGGCGGAGGAGGACAAATGATGGGGGGGGGGGGGCACAGTGACGCAAGATTCGGATCCAGAAGAGTGGCCGGCGCTGGGGCGAGAGCGCCAGTCTGAGCGACAGGGGCAACGCGCTGGTCCGGGAAGGAGGCCCACGCTGCAGCGGGAGCACCATCCTCAAACACCAGAAACGAGTGCATGGTACAAACAAGACCAGCGTCTGACATCCTGCGAAAACGCACGCTACTCGGAGTGGGCAGGACATCTTCTGGACAACTCCAGAGGAGGAGGGAGAGTCGCATTCTGATTGTTTCATTGTGGGGATTGGCGAGGGAGGTGGAGAAGCAGGGGGGCAGGACCTCATGGGGGAGGGGAAGCGGAAGAGGAGGACTTGTTGCGGATCGTTTCTTTTAGCCCCAGCGTTTTTGTGAATGATCTCGGCATCATCGGGCCGCCTTGGAGCCCCAGGATCATCAGCGATTGGTTCGTGACGAGAACCTGTCCCCCCGCGGGCAAGGGCTTGAGAGATTTGGGGCTCATCGTCGGATGTCCGGCCTCACTTGTACGTTCCAAGACAGCGCATGCACTTAGGAGCGCCCCGTCGCCGCCTCGTCGCCGCCCGTCGTGTAGGCTTGTGTGCCCGTCCCGCGGCTCCGCGGTCGCCGTCGCCGCCCCGTCGCCGCCTCGTCGCCGTCCGTCGTTTGGCCTTGGGTGCCCGTCTGGCGGCTCCGCGGTCGCCGTCGCCGCCCCGTCGCCGCCTCGTCGCCGTCCGTCGTTTGGCCCTGGGTGCCAGTCTGGCGGCTCCGTGATCGCCGTCGCCGCCCCGTCTCCGCCAGAGCTTGTTCAACATAGAATCTCCTTGTTTGAAAAATGGATTCGGATCTCCCCCCTCTCCCCCCGGGATTATCCGTTTCCCCTGGGGAAGTGCAATTTGCATATGACTCTGGGCCATCGTTCGTTCTGAATCTGAATTCGTACCATCCTGGCTAGGCCGTCGAAAAACATTGTGCGCGCGCAGTCCTTCATCCCCTTGCAGTTAGCTATTGCGGAAAATTGGACGAAGTGCGCACGCTCGCGCCGTCTAGCGTTCATGCCGGAATCCGCAAGCAAACCGCAAGTGTTTTTAAGGATTTTGAATTCGAGCGCCGCGGCATATAGAGCAACAGTGGTTTTGCAACATGTGATCTCTACCAAAAGTCTGCGCGCACGCTCTTGCGAAATGTTCCCACCCCTGGTGCTTTTATTGTTGCGTCGAATGCGACCAAACGGGCCTCTCGTGCGCGCATGACGAAGTCATTCGAACGCCTTTGGGCGCGCATTGGGGGGGGGGCAGAACCCTTGTCAAGTAATACCATGCGGGCCGTCCGCGCCTGTCGGCCGCGCGTGCATGTTGAAACCTTTTTCAAAAATTGCATCACAGACACGTGAACACAATGATCGTCATCGGCGTGATCGGCATCGGCGACGCCATTGGCCGCGCAGTTGTCATCGTCATCGTCGCCACCAGCATCGCTACTATTATCATTGTGTCTGCCGTTGCCGACGTGGCCATGGTACCGCGCCCGCCCGCGTCACCGGCTCGCACTGAAGTGCCCGCGCGTCAGCGCGGCCTCCGGCACGCGCTGGGAAGTCCCCAGCGGTCAGCGCCACCGCGGCAGCGTCGGCCGCGCCGGACTAGCTGGCCGCTCCGCGCCAGCCAGCGCCAAGCAGTCATCGATAATCCTCCAAACCAAGATGCGGGTGGGCGTGGGTGTGGCCGGGGGGGGGTCGATTGCTTGAACAGCGGAGCTGGCAATTCCAGGTTCGGCAGCGTAAGTAGTATGCACCGCAAAGAGTGTACCGCTGAGATTGCATTACAAAGCCTGCGCCATGAAATATTCATACATGTACGTATACATGTATAGACATAAACACATGGAGTTATCATTCATACTTCACCGCATAGGTTGCACATCAGACATGGCAGAACATATATTGCACAACGTAGTTTCTACCAACCGGTCCGTCCAAGGATCTCACATTCTGAATACGATTCCGCCCCATTGTTCGTTTTTGATACGATCCCACATCATCCCGGGCAGGCTGGCGTCCCCCAGTCCAGTCTGCTTTAATTTTTTTCTCAAAATAAGCCCTTGCAAAACAACACATTGAACAAAGTGCATACGCGCGCGGCGTCGCGCGCCCATTCCGAAATCAGTGACAAAAACACTGTTTTCGGAAGGCTCGCCAGGTCAAGAGTCCTGCAAACGTATACAATAACAGTGTTGTGTTTTTTCGAACTTACGATTTCACTGAAGCCTGCGCGCACGCCTTGGCGAGTCCTCAAACAGACCATAGGTGTGTCAACAACCTCATCAAATGCGACCAGTATGGCTTCTCGCGTGCGCATGTCGGTATTATTCGAACGCGTTTGCGCTTTTGCTGGAGGGGGGGGGCGAGCACGACCTTTGTCAAACATACCATTCGGGCGAGTTGCACCCGTCGGCCGCGCGCGCATGCTGGAATCTGTTCGACAGTTGTTCATCATCGACGTGTGGACGCCATCATCGTCATCGGCGTGATCAGCATTGGCACCGTCAATGGACCCGCCGTCGTCATCGTCATCGTCGTCACCATCACCTTGTGGAATAATACCATGCGGGCCATTCGCGCCCGTCGTCCGCGCGCGCATGTTGGAATTCTTCCAAAAATTGTATGACCGACGCGTGATCATAATCATCGTCAATGGCGTGATCGGCATCGGCGCCGTCATTGGCCGCGCCGTCGTCATCGTCATCGTCGCCGCCAGAATCGCTACTAAGACCATTGTGTCAGCCGTCGTCGACGTGACCATGTATCGCGCCCGCCCGCGTCACCGACTCGCACTGAAGTGCCCGCGCGTCAGCGCGGCCTGCGGCACGCGCTGGGGAGTCCCCGGCGGTCGGCGCCACCGCGGCCGCGTCGGCCGCGCCAGATTAGCTGGCTGCTCTGCGCGCGAGCCTGCGCGCGCAGAGCGGCCGCAGCGATGCGCCAGCCAGTGCCGCGTGGTCATTGCAATCGCCCCCGCATTGGTTTTGCAAGGGGTGGGTGTCTGGGATGCTGGCGCGAACAAGCATCAATTGCACCACGCGGAGTGCGCAACAGAGGTTGCACCACATGGATTTCACAACGCAGACTGCTAGAAACACTGCGTGGGATATCGCACAAGCGTGCCACACGCACGGTTGCGCAAGTTCCACAAGTGAAGCTCGTGAGCCTTCCCCGCCTGGGAGAGGACACGTCGGAACCCCAAGGGGCAAACACTTCACTGCCCGTCTCCTTCCGTACGGGCACCGCGCTGCACCGAAACGCGCCGGGATGCCGCGGCCAATACCCGACCACACGCGCCTCACCCCCCCCCGTCGTCGTCGTTCCTCCAGGTTGTAATCTTCTTCCCCTGCCTCCTCTTTTGGAGGGGAAGGAGGAGGAGGAAGAGGAGGAGGATGAGGAGGAGGAGGTAGGAAGGAAGAGGGATGCGCTGCGCCGTGGCCTGGCCTTGCGAAGGCGGCCAGGCGCGGCTCACCGGGGCGTTCGCTTCCTTTTCGGAGTGGGCGCGGAGCTGCGGCCCACAGGTTTCCTCCTTCTCCTCCTCCTCGTCTTCCTCCTCATCCTCCTCCTCATCCTCCTCATCCTCCCCCTCCTCCTCCTCCTCCTCCTCCTCGTCTTCCTCCTCATCCTCCTCCTCATCCTCCTCATCCTCTCATTCCTCCTCCTCCTCCTCCTCCTCCTCCTCCTCCTCCTCCTCGGAACGACGCGGGAGCGATGCGGGTCTCGAGCCCTGGAGACGGGCAGGAGCTGCGGCAGAGGCTGGGCGAGCTCGAGGGCAGCCAGATGGAGACGCTCTCCAAGGTCCGCGCCTCCACGGCCGCCGCCGAGGACACGCTGAAGAGGCACGAGCTCGGGATCCGCAGGCGCCCCGAGGAGGAAGAGGAAGAGGAGAAGGAGGAGGAGGAGGAGGAGGAGGAGGAGGAGGAGGAGGAGGAGGAGGAGGGCTTCCTCGCCGCCGTGGGCGGTGGCGGTGGCGGCCCCGGCTGCGCCCCGCCCCCGTCGCCTCCCATGTCCAGACCCTGGCCGTCGTCGTCGTAGTCGCACCCTCTCGTCCTCTTTCGTCGTTAGGGTTTGCTTCCTCCCTCGCCCCCGCCCGTTCACCAACTCCACCCGCGCCTTTCTATCACGGCCCCCTCCTCTCTTGGTGTCTCCGCCGGTTTGGTTTGTTCATGCCGCCCTCCTCGTGAACTGTCCGATCGTGCCTCTTCGATTCTCGTTTCG